GGTAAGGTAAGGGTTAGGTTTTAATGCAGAAATTTCCAAAATATTAATTTCTATGCGTTTTATTAAGTGATAAATTTTTAGAAAGTATTTAATTCATGAGTTACACGCCCGTTTCTGGAAATGAAGTAAAATTTCCTGGACAAGTGGAAAATATAGGTGCAAAACTTGGAATAGGGAAACGAGTCAGACGACACTTTTGCCTTATTCAAGTCATCATTTGACCAGATTTGTGACAAATTGTATGAAAAATGTAGTCTCTAGTTTGTGGAAATTTTGGACAAGTTGTAAACAAAAATGAGATGGATCTATGTACTTGCGTACGTACGTAATACGGCTTAATCTTGTTTTTTTCGGTGTTATATATGTTATTTAGGATGGCTTAATTTTATTGGATTATACAATTCTACAGCTTAATCTGCATGTGACCTTGTGTCCTTGGTAAGATAAGAGCCAGTTTTCAATGCTGAAATTATGAAAGTCTTAATTCATGTACGTTTCTTGAGCCGGAAAAGTTAATTTAATTTAGAAAGTAGATGTTACACGCCGTTTCTGGAAATAAAATAAAATTTACTCGGACCGTGTAAAATATAGATGACGGATTTATATTTGGACCATTAAACCAAGTCAGACCTGACTTGTAAAAGTCATCATTTCCGAACCTTGTGACAAATTGTAGGAAAAATGTGTATACTTTTCATACGTAGATTTGTCCAGAGTCTCGTCTTACCCCGAACAAGGAACTCACCACCCTTCTCCATCTCGGACTTTCTCCTTTCTCCTCCCACTCTTAACCCAGTCCGGCCAAGTGTAAATAAAGGGATTAAAAAGAGATCAAACGACGAGTGGAACAAACAAAGCGAGAAAAACGACTGCTCCCACTTTGCTCTTTTAATTCCCTTCCACACCAGATAACACGAAGCCCTTCCTCACTAACTCCACGTACGTAGGTACGTATCCTTCACAAACAAACAGTAAAAGTTAGTCCACCGAAACTTTTTTACTTTTGAAAAGTTTTTTGATCCGGAAGCCGCTTCTCGAAGGAAGGAAATCGCAGGTGTTATAAGTTCCGGATAATCGTATTATCCCGACATGATGAGGTCCTCGTAACGCGGCTGTAATTGGCATATCCATCCATTCGCTTATGTACACTGTTAAAAATCTGGTAAAGACAGGTATGTACTCCGTGGTGGTATTGATTTAGTAATAACTTGCTTTCCAAATTGGTAGTAATATAGAGACCAACGTATGCTCTCAGATTTTGTGCAAATTAGTATCAAAGTACATTTAGTACATTTGCGAATGATACGATCTCCCAGTGGGCACGTTTGGCCGAGATATTTGCATCCGAAGAGAAGATATATTTGCAAAGTGTAAAATTTGCCGACTTTATATTGTTTTGTCTTGTTTTCTTGAAAAATACACGAACTAGCGTCAAACTTGTTTTGCACGTGTAATTAATTCACTTCAATCTATTGAATTCTATTTTTTCACCTGAAATTATGAGAAAAGTGTTTTTTTTATACCGTGTGACATTTACGGAATACAAATAATTAATTTCATAGCGTTATTCCATTGAACATACATTCATATAGAAGATGTAGAGTAATAAGAATGCATAAGCCACATTGAGACCCGGAGAACCAATTACGCTGGACGGCGTGGTTTTCGTCCCCTCCCTCCCATTGACAGCCAATCAGAAAAGTTTTTTAATTAAATAATATTAATTACGTATTTTTTTTTAATTTCGGAGTCCGACTTTATCAAAAATGCCGTAAATTGTACAGGTTGGACGCCAAAATCGAAACAAATGTATATTTGTGATTGTTTCAGAAGCTTTAAAAACAAAAGACACGATCTCCGAATGGGCACGTTTGCCAAAGATATTTGCATCCCAAGAGGAGAAAACGCGCAGTAAATTTGGAAAGTGTAAAGTTTGCCAACTTTATGTCGACTTTATGGCGCGTTTTCTCCGCTTCGGATGCAATTATCTGTCAAAAGTGCGAATTTGAAGATCGCGTCTGTTGCAAATTTCGTTATAATTAAATTTGTCTTCAATTGACACTAATTTGCCCAAAGTCTGAGGGCAAACGCTGGGAGACCTCCATTGCGAGTGGTAAATTTTGCATTACCACGGCATTATTAAACGGTAATGCCCGTTATTACCAGTGCCGGTAGATTCATATACTCCTGTCAGTAATGATTTAATACCAGTTTTCTAAGAGTGTACATACATATCTATTATTGACTAACTTGACTTTACAACCAAACCAAACCTCCCCCGCATCAATACTGTCGTGGACGTGGTCGTGGTTGCGAATAATTGGACTTTGTCATATCGTCGCATCGCAGAAATTTATTTTTAGCACATTTTAGCAGTCTTAACCGGACTGAAGTGAAGAATGCTATTTTCATCATTTGCAAATATTGGGAATTTTGGTGTACTTTGGGGTTGACCAGATTTCCTCCCACGCGGAGAGAGAGAGGATCGCATAAAGTAAACCAAACCACGCGGAAACTAAGCCGTGAAGGAGGAGAGAAAGTGGGGAGAAAGTACGGACGAAAAGTTAGTTGCTCAAGAAGTTTCGGTCCATGGAAAACATTTAATTGGGGAAAAATAAAAGATTTAATTGGCTCATGTCCAGAGGGCGGATATGTATGCACGAAAAATCTATGAAATATTTACGAAAATTTGCACTTAAATATTGGCGAAATGCGTATGAAAAAAAAACATAAAGATATAATAATTTTCAAATAAAATTTTATTGTTACTTTATCCCAAGAAATCTCTAGTTTTACGTCAATTGTAATATTTTAATTTTTGTTGAAACCATCAAAAAATTCTTAGATGCCAACTACTGCTCAGCTAATATTAATAGTCTGGAAAAAATCTGAAAAGTTTCCGGGTAGATAAATAATTTATATTATTTCTAAAAACCAACCTGTGAACAGTAGTTCCGCCAATATTAATAGTCTCAATTCTTGGAAATTTTTCTGAGAGGCGTTTATATTTTTGGAAAATAGATAATATAAATTATCTGCCCGGAAACCTTTCAGATTTTTTCAGACTATTATTATTAGCTGAACTATAGATTAAACATATTTACGTTTTCCCAAGCTATTATTTTGAAGTAGGTTTTATGCCAATTCTAGTATTTTAATTTCTGCACAAACCATTAAAAAATTATTAGATGCCAAGTAGTTCAGCCAATAGTAAGTATAAATAAATTCCCAGGAAATTTTTCTGAGGGGTTTATTTAGTTTTTAGGTTTAAGGTTTATTAGGTTTATTATTTATTAGGTTTTTAAGTTTATTTAGGTTATTTGGTTTTTGTAAAATGTTTTTGAAAATTTCCCAGATTTGCCAATGCCAATGCTAATTCGAATTGTTTCGAAATGTTTCAATTTCTGCAAAGAATTACACTTTCAATCAATATTATTTAGATTAATCAAATTCCCATGTTTTTTTGTGAACTACAAATTTCGGGAAAAAAATTCCACTTCAGTATTTATTTTTCCTGCATATTTAGCAGACATTTTACATTCTCATTTTTTATGCTGCAAATTTTGCACGCCAATTCAAATATTTTATTCGTTACAAGATCATGTAGATTTTCATGATTACGATCGTCATAAGCACAAGATGGTGTGTATTTATGAAAAAATGGGTGAAATATGTTATTAATATTTGCGAAAAAATATATACCAAAAAGGAAACATAAAAATAAGAATTTTCACAAAATTTATATTTCTGAATTGAATGTTTTGGATTTTTTGTGCACTGATTTGTTTAAGCAAGGAAATTTCGTCTCACATCGTTGAAATTTTTACGAAATAAATACATTTTTGGAAAAATATGCGAGAAAAAATTACGTATTTTTCAAATAAATAATAGCAGAAATGTCTATACAAACCTAGAAATCTGTTGAAATAAAAATATTGTGATATTTTTATGCTCTACGCGAGTTAGGGAACACACTCAAAAAGTTTGACCGTCGGTCGGCATCAAATCAAAAATTTGAAAATAAATACATAACCGCCCTCTGTTCATGTCTTTGCAAATACAAAAATAGTTTTTCTCTTAGAAAAAATTGAGTGAAAAGTTTGAAGAAAATGCATAAAAATAGCTTTGGGACAAGGATGCATGCATAAAGTTGATCGAGATTTACAACTCGTGTAGAACAAATTAATTGCAATTATGTGTTGCAATTTAGTTTCGAGGTTATGCCAATAAATAAGTGATTAATTAATCCCATAGAAAAATTTCATGCGTGCAAAGCTATGATTGATTGCGTAACTGAATAATGGTCCATAATCTAAATTTAGGAATGATTTAATCTCACAAACGTTATTTTATACAACAATTAGTGGATTAAACGTACATATGTACAAGAATTACATATTTAGGTATTACTGGATAAATGAAATGGATACGAAAAACTTTTGTAGATTAATTGGCTGAGAAATGAATGGATCGGGAGAAAAAGTTGCAATTCCCTTGATAAATGAGGATGAAATTGTGAGCATCATGTGCCCGGATGGTTGCTTTGGTCATAGATTTCGTCAAGTTTTTATGCATTTGGTGGTGAGCAGAAGGCTGAAACTTTGTATGCTTAGAAATGTAACAAGTTGCATCATGAGCACGTGATGAATTTTCTCGCTGGATAAATATTTTTGAGATTTTGTGTGTCAGACGAAACTGTCAAATGTCTAACTGTCGCAGTCGGAGCGATTTAATGTTGACAATTGCGAGATAATAATCGAGCTCGTTTAAACAGAGTGTGGCAGCAGAGCAAAATTACACCTTAACTAATAGTAAAAATGCTTATTTAAATATGGCAAATTTTCCACTGCAATCCCACATCCATTGTTCTCGTGGATCTGGAACAATGTAGTAACCTTGAGATATGCATTTATTTTTCATTTTTTGCTAAATCACGCTGAATTTATAAAGTTATTGAATCGTATTGTATTTAAACGGGGTCAAGTAAATAGATGCAGATTTAAACAAATATTTAATACATTTGTCGGGAGGGAAATATGCACAAGGTGACGAGTTCCATTAAAAAATTGAGCAGTGGATTATTCGTTAGTTCGTTTTTAAGGCAGGACAGGTGCAGTTATTACATAATCGAAGAAGAAAAAATATCCCAAATTTGGTGAGCTTTGACGCTTTAAATACAAAATTTTGAAAATTTAATATTTTTTTTGGCGAGTACAGATGGGTGGAATTGGTTTTTTGTGGGATCCGTCGTACTGCATGCAAGTATTTTACTAGTGTATTTTATGTAGATACAAATTCTGCATGAAATTATGCCTATAAATTCGGCATGAAATTAAATTTTTTGCAAAAGTGTGGTGGTATCATAATTGTGCGAAAAGTTATGAGCATTTTACTCACTCCAGTTTTCTTATGCAGTTTAACACAAAATTATGCAGATTTGCAAAATTATTCATTTTTTGGGTAACTAAAGATGGGTTTTACTTCACGAATTTATTTTACATATGTGTGGATTAGAGTATTTCATGTACATACAAATTCTGCATGTAAATTGGGGATGAAATGCAATTCTTGCAAAACTGTTGTGAGATCGTAACGTACTTGTTACAAATTTCTGCATGAAATTATCTCTGTAAACTCGACATGAAATATAATTCTTGCTAAACTGGGATTGCAAATTGTACGAAATTTTACTCACTGCAGTCTTTTTATCCGCTTTAGCCCTTAATATACAATTTTCAAAATTATTAATATTTTTGGGTGACAAAAAGATGGGCTTTACTTCACGAATTTATTTTACATATGTGTCCATTTGAGTATTTCATGTATATAAATTCTGTACGTAAATTCCGCATTAAATGCAACTTTTGCAAAACTGTGGTGGGATCGTAACGTACTTGTTTCATGTGTACAAATTTCTGCATGAAATTATCCCTGTAAACTCTCTCCATGAAATGTAATTTTTGCAAAACTGGGATTGCAAATTGTACGAAAAGTTATGAGCATTTTACCCACTCCAGTTTTTTTATTTTCTAAATTGCATTACATTAAAGTAAACCAACCCAATTAATCTTTCCTTCAGATCTAAATATCTGACACAGTTAGCGAGGCTGGGAGGTCGGCGAGGTGGAGGTGAACTTGTATTTATCTTGAATTCCAATTCCATTCCAGGCTAATTAGTCCTTCTCTCTGAAACTTACTTTAGCGAATACATCACAACCCGACCAGAATCGGAATAATCCCAATCCATTAATTATCCAGGTTGTAATTGGCATGACATGATTTCACATTTTCCTCTACCTACATACGTACGATTTTTGTGTACAAATCAGTAATTACCGGGGGGAAATGGCAGGAATGTATAATGGCATGGTAGAAATTATAGATTGAGGTTATGTAGAATCGTGTATGTAAATAATTTAACGGAGGGAAATTAATGATAAGGTCGGGAAATTTAGGTTTAAAATAATCGGGATTACATAAATCGATATCAAAATGTAAAATGATTACGGTCCGTTTAAAAAATAAAGACGCAAAAAAATTAAAGAGGTTATCTGGCATTTACATGGAACAATTTTTCATAAATATATAATTTTCGTAATTTTTTCGGATTTTTTGAATACGAAATACGAATTAAATTGTTTCGTAATAAATAATTGATAATGCTTTTTTTTGTGACTGACACTGGATCATTTTCATTGTTATGTATTGTTATGTATCGTATTTTTATGCATTTTGTGTGATAATTAATTTTTGATTGATAATTAATTGCGTCTTATTCGTTAAAAGTTCAGTTAAAAGTTGAGTTAACCTTTTAACAAAATTTATTAAAAAACTTAATAAGAACTTTTGTCCATATTTTTTGAACGAAAAATAGAACAAAATGCGGAATAAGATTTATTTCGGGTTTGCAATCCAATTTACTAAACGTTTCGTATCAATATGTACAAAAAATTCGAGTAAAATCCGGAATTTCCAGAGATTATTGCCTATTGATTATTGATTATTGAACGCATCGTACCTATAATTGGATCATTGACTTTGCAAAGGGGTTCTTGCACCATAATAATAGGAATTCGCACAGCATAGAAATAAATAATATGCATTTCTCCGTAAGGATAATAGAAACGTGTAGCCAGCCAGCCGTTCCATTAACCAGGCAATGAACTTGATACTTTTTAATTGAAAACGTGGTGGCTGGACTTGTTTTCCTCCAGGAGAGCAAAATGCCAATAAATTATAAATTGTTATCAAAGCCGGGAGCTAACTCAACCCAGGATGAACTGCGCCTTTGTTTCAGCATTTCTTGATCGACTAGAGACTTTTGTAGTAGTTGAGGTAGATAATCTAATCATGCTTGGTTTGCTGCTGGAGTGGAGTGGATTATGCAGAGATGCGATGCGATGCGATGACTCGGATCAAAATGTTCAATGATCTGGAGCAAGATTTTTTTTATTGAGAAGAAGAAGAAGAATTCAATGTCTTTTTTTTCCATTCTTGAATAATTAGTGGACACACCGAAAGAGCTGGTTTTGTCCGTGATGTGATGTCGTGGTGGGATTTATCTAGTTAGATAAAGATGAGATTTTTTGAGAGATTATTTTACAAATAAAAAATATCGTGGTAATATTTGTTTACACTGTTAAAAATCTGCTGGAGTCCGAGTCACATATCTACTCCGTGCTGGTATTGATTTGGGAATAATTTCCTACCGAATTGGTAGTAAATTATTCCTGGGTAGTAAAGTTTTCATTACCACAATATTACTGAGAGGTAATTCTCGTACCAATTGGACTAATGCCCGTAGAGTCACATATGTACTCCGGTCGGTAATGATTTAATACCAGTTTTCTAAGAGTATACCTATATGAAAATTGAATTGGAAATTTCAAAAAAGTTGCATGATCTAGAGCAAGATTTTTTGACACAAATTCAATATATTTTTTTTATTGATCTTCTTCTTGAGTAATTAGTGCATACACCTGGTTTTATCGATGTGATGTCATGGTGGGATTTATTTAGCTATATAGAAAAAGATGGAATTTTTTGGGCCATTGCTTCGTGTACTATAATAAGGATCGATACGTATTGATACATATTGCTACTTGTTTGTGAAAATTGGACTGAAAATTCCGAAACGGGGCTGGAAGGAATTTGTTGGGGCATGCTTAAAATATAAGTCTGTGTGTATGCATGAAATTAATTAGTGCATGGCTGGCATGATTGAAATGTCAATTCCAGTCTTCTCCTGGAAAACAAAGGAGTGGATGATCACATCACATCTCGTTCGCAGCAGACAAGTTGACGACCTATCTCATCCCATTAAGCAAGTGAGTGTATCCAAAAAGTTAGTTAACCAACCAACCAGTGGCCGCGGAAGGTGTGCGGGACATGTGGGGACAGGATAGGGGAGCGGGGGGGTTACATAACAGATGATGATGCTTACATTAAATAACCGTGGCGACATTGTCACGGTTCTAGGCGGATTTTGCATAAAGGTGTTTTGCATAAAAAAAATTTGCCGTACAAATTTTCTACCGATATGGTAAAACCTTTGTACTGAATGTGAAGCTAATGAAAACAAAGATTATGCAAAATGGTAGTTTTGCATAATTTTAGATATAAGTTTTGCACAAATTGTGCATAAATTTAGACAAATTCCCTTTATGCGAAATTGTGGTTTTGCATAATTTTAAAGTTAGATAAATTCCCTTTATACAAAATTGTGGTTTTACATAACTTGAAATTTACACAAATTCCCTGTATGCAATATTGGTGTTATGCAAAATGAATTATGTAAATCCACTGGCCGACCATGCCCCTCTGTCCCCACCACGCTTCCGCGGCCACTGTACCTAACTAACCATTCAACCACCTGGTCCACGATTCAGCCAGTGATCCGATCTTCTTCTGGATCGTATCGATCTTCAGATCGTGGCCAAGATTTATTTAACCTCGGGATCTTGGGCGAGATGACGGCGACGACGAGGACTCCTTCTCCCACCATCACCAAACGACTCCTAGTCATTTCCAGCCTTTGCGTTTTCTTCTTGGGGCAAGAAACTGGTAAGTTTTGGGAGGCGAGATGAGACTTCTGGATAAAAAAAGTTGTAGATTTTGCCTAACAATGGAACCTTTTTTCGAGCTACACTCGGATTTTCTTGCGAGTTATGTTAAAAAATTGAGCAAAAAATTAGGAGTCACGTGACACATTTTTATCCGTTGAATGGACCCCTTTAAAGGAAATTGTTGGGTTCAGAGTTGAACTCTGAACCCAACAATTTTCTTTAACGAGGTCGGTATTCAACGGATAAAAAGTGTAACGTGACTCCTAATTTTTGGCTTAATTTTTTAACATAACTCGCAAGAAAATCCGAGTCTAGCTTGAAAAAAGGTTCCATTGTAAGTTTATTGGCTGCAGGGGGGAAGGACCTGTCACCCACAACGACGACCGTGCTGAGACGACACAAACCTAAAGAGCTCATCTTTTCCGACGAGTTTTTCGATTTCGATACCAGCATTTGGTATCATGAGCATTACCCGCCGGGTCACAAGGTAGGTAAAATTCGGGCCACTTTTATACAGAAAGAGGGAAAAAATCTTGTATTATGGAGTATCATGAATTTATTTTTTGAAATATGCAAACAAAATTTGAATGATTTTTTAAAATTATTTTTGAGATTTTGAAATGTTGTGTAATTGAATTAACTGCATTTTTTATGTGCTGATTATAACCAAAATTTCAAGAAATTGATATAATACATCAATAAAATTAATATTATTAAATTAATTTGTGCCATTTTTCCATTCGCAAATTGAACGAGTATTCCAAAGAATTGAAAACATCTTGTTATGAAGTTATTATGAATTTATTCTTTTAAGATGACAAAAGATTTGAATGTTTTTCCGTTGTTTTGGGGGTTTTGAACCTTCTCTTTTAAGAGAAATTTGTAGCGTTGAGATTTTTTAAACTTGCAAAAATTGCGAGAAGGATATGTTAATCAGTGCTATTTGCATTATCATGACTTATAAAATTGGGTCACTTTTACACACAATGAGGAAAACAATCTATTAAATTTTAAGGTTATGAAGTATCATGAATTTATTCTTTGAGACGGCAAAGATATTCAAAAAATTGAGCATTATTTTTTTTACACATAATTTACGAGATTTTAAAATCTGTTATGTAATTATACTTGCTGAAATTTTTTACATGTTGCTCATAAGGGAGCGTCCATAAATCACGTGATCGATTTTTGGACAATTTTGACCCCCCCTCTCCCCTTGGTGACCGGTGGTGATAATTTCGCTACCCCCCCCCCACCGGTCACGTGACAGGAGATGGCTCAAATTAAATCATTGTGTCCGGAATAACAATATTTTTTAAATCATTAATCAAATTTGAGCTACACACATGTGTAAATAACTATTTAATAGGCCAGTCAGAAATAAGAATTTTAAGTCGAAGCAAGTTTCTAAATATGCAAAATCAAAATCAAATTTATATAACGTGCGTGTGGTATGCCAAGGGAGTTTATATATAACTCTCAAGACATTTATTGGCATATACAAAAATTAAAAAAACTTTACTCGTGTCACGTGACATCTCACCATATACCCCCCCCCCCCCCCGTGATAATTGGTGACAAATTTCAGACCCCCTCCCCCCCTCTAATCGATCACGTGATTTATGGACGCTCCCTAAGAAAAGCTTAAAAAAGAGATGGATATGTTAATTAGTGTCATTTGGGATCATATTCGTCCAGCCACATGGTACGCACTTGGATATTTTAAACACAAACTGGGCGACTTTTCTGTAAAAAAATAGGGCCTCGAGATCTAATAATGATTAAACTTATGCCGTATTATAAATTTATTTTTTTATGACGGCAAAGATATTTAAAACATTTTTTAAACTTGAAATTTGTCTCTAAAGAGAAACTTGTGATGTTATTGTTTTGACTAAAATTTTTTACGTATTGATCATAAGAAAAAATTTCAAAACGTTAGTTACATGTTAATTACACTATAAATAATTTGGTAATAAACATTACCGAAAAGCACAAGTATATGACTCTACCAAAGTGGTAATGATAAGTTGTACCGTGTGGTAATGGCAATAGCTTGGTAATAAAACTATACCATCATGGTAACGAATTTTTACTACCTGGTAAAACATTATTACCATACTTATTACCGAGAAATCATTACCTGCGTGACTTTACCGGATTATTAAGGGTGTAGTTCCATTGGGTATCATGAGCAAGTACGTATTTATTTAAAAAGACGCAAATTAGACGAATTTTTGTGCAGAAGAAGGGTAAAATCGTGTAAACTTCAAAATCATCAAGTATTATAAACTGATTGTTTTGAGACGGCAAAGATATGCAATAAATTGCGAATAAGGTTTCTTTTTCTCTTTAATTTGAAACCTTTCGTGAGAGTTATGCAAAAGTTTTTTGCGAAATTTTTGACATGTATCATAAGCAAAAATTACAAAACAAATTGATATGCTAATTTGTGCCATTGAAATCTATCATGGTATGTAAATATGTATTTACACAAAAATTATACCAGTTTTATCCAGGAGTTAGAACTGATCTTGTATAGTTAATAATTATAAAATATTCTGAATTTATTGTTTTGAGGCGGCAAAGATATGCAAAAAATAGATTCTTTTTTTAGGTTTTAGAGATTTTTCAACTCTAAAACAAAATTTATAAATGGTTACTGAAATGTTTTACGGATCACTCGTAAGCAAAAATTGCAAGAGATGGATATATTCACTTTTGACATTTTTCCAAAATTGGACGAGTTTATCGCAGAAATTGGAAAATATCTGCATATTTAGAGGTTATAAAGTATTATGAATGTATTTAATTGAGACGGCAAAGATATGAACAAATTTTGAAGGAATTTATTTTTATTTTTGTGATTTTGAAACTTGTCTGTTAAGAGAATTTATTGTGTAATTATATTTAGTAAAAAATTAATAATTTTTGTGATAAAAAATTAGAAGATATTGATATGTAAATTAGTTCTATTTGAACTTTATCCTGTCGGGTACTAGATCTGTATTTATTAGGGTATACGGAGGCCAGCCACCCGCCATAAGCCACCCACCAAAAGCCACTCAACAAAAGCCACTCCCCATAAGCCACACTAGGAAATAAGCCACCCCAGGAAAAAGCCACTTACCAAAAGCCACCTTCCATAAGCCACCGTAGGAAATAAGCCACTTCTAGAAAAAGCTACTCTTATCATCTTCATTGATAAAACCTAGTTCAAACAACTTTACACCCGTAATATAATTTCGTGATATATTATTGGTACAAAAGTCACAGAAAACGCGGATTAAAAAAAAACAATTGAGAGACTGTATTGAGATTGTTAAATATCAAATCAGCTATTTAACATTACAAATTTTAGGTGTTGAGTATCACGAAAATCTACCAGACTATCGATATAACTCACAAATGTGTCGCTGAAGAATGTGAAGACTTATATGACAACTACAATTCCAATTTAATTTAACAATTGCTTGCAGTGAAGCTATTTATTACTGTAAAATTGGTACAAATTAATAATTTTATGAGAAGACCTCTTGACTTGAGATGCTTCTCCTTCTGAGTCTACTTCGGGACTTTTTGTAACTTAACTATGAAGCTAAAATGTGAACTAAAAACGCCTACCATTAATTCTGGTTAAAACTGGATTATTTGTAGTCGTGGCAGTTCCACGTCACCTTAACCTTCACAATAACCTTCATACAAAATATATCATTCTTACATACGTATGAGCCGGTCACTTTACTCTCTGAAAACTGTCTCTTACATAAAGTGCAATGCTCTCAATCTTCATATCACACAAAATCATGATAAAAATACATGCCTGCATATCATTACATTTAACATTAGGAATATGAGAACGGTTAGGGCAATGGGTTATAAGCGTTCCGATCCCTTCCGGTGCCTTTAAAATTTTAAATTGATGTTGAATTCTGTTGAGGTCATTCTCCTTGGATATCTTCAACTTATGTATACCCTACACCACTCTTAGAAATCAAGTATTAAAATTATACCAAGCGGTATTCATATATGACTCAACTAAAGTGGTATTAATGTTAAGTAGATAATACCGTGGAGTAATAGTAGCTCGGTATTAAAGTTGTAATATATTGGTATCAAATGTTTAAGGACGGGGATAATTTTAATACCAAGAGGTAGTAATTTTAATACTGAGCAATCAGTAACTGATGATTGTTCATGATCTGGTGTGACTTGTACCAGATTTCTCAAACTGTACACACAGTTTGAGAAATCTCACATCGCAAATTATAGCTGAGGTTGAAAATATTTGAAAATCTACATACGTCAATTTAGGTGCTCCGAGGTCTCAGGTCATACCAAATTTTAGCTGCGTACAACATATTTCAGAAATTTGCGTAGGTTACTAAATTTCCAGCTTGTGTGGTAAATACAAGGACAAAGCGCATTCCAACCCCCGGTTTATTAATAAAGATGGTGATTATAATAAGAGTAGCTTTTTCTAGAAGTGGCATATTTCCTACGGTGGCTCAGGGAAGGTGGCTTTTTGTGAGTGGCTTTTTCCTGGGGTGGCTTATTTCCTAGAGTGGCTTATGGAGAGTGGCTTTTGTTGAGTGGCTTTTGGTGGGTGGCTTATGGCGGGTGGCTTACGTCCGCAAATCATTTATTAGTATGTATAATTCAATTCTGTGGTATTTATGCACACTAAAACAGAACGAGTTTTGCGCAGAAAGGGGAAAAATCTTGTAGAATTAAAGATCATGAAGTATTATGAATTAATTTTTTTCAGACGCCAAACGTGTGCAAAAAATGTGAATGATTTTTTTCGTAATTGTTGAGATTTTTAAACTGGAGAAATTTATTAATAAATTGTATTTACTGAATTTTTTTAAATATTACAAAAAATTACAAAAGATGGATAAATTTTCCAGTTTTTGTCGGACAAAAATTGGACGAGTTTTAAACGAACGGTGGAGACCATCTTATCGAGTTAAAAATTATGAAGTATTTTCGATTTATTTTTTGGGAGGTAGAGATATGCAAAAAAAACTGTTAAGAGAATTTATTATGTAGTTGTATTTAGTGAATTTATTATACGTCGATCAAAAATTGCAACAGATTAATATGTTAGTTAGTGCCATTTTGTGTGATGAATATTAACCGCCCGGTCACAATATAAACTCTTAGAAATGGGGTTACGATTATAACCAAAAAGTAAACCTACCTGACTCTACCGCCGTGGTTGTAAATTTGTCATCGAGTGGTTACAATTGTCACCGACTAATTATAAAGTTTCGCCGACTTGGTATTAAATTGTCACCAGAGCAAATAAATTTATAACCAGTTGATGACAAATTCATAACCACTGCGGGAGAGTCATATACGTTTACATTTTGGTAATAATCGTAAAGATAGACAAAAATTGTGGATAATTTCTTCATAACTTTCATAGTTTTCTTTTAATAAAAATTGATCATGTACATAATTGTATTTCCTGAAATTTTTTTT